ATCGTTGTGATTCCCCGCGGGGTCGTGCCCCCGCCACCCGTTCTGTCCTGTACACCTGGGGATGAGAACCCGGGTCTCTGGCGTAATGCAACAGGGCACCAACCGCGTGAGCTAAAGGAGACCTCCCAGGCAGCTGAGGTCCCTGCTATGCTCAGTGAGGGTGCTGACGTCACTGCACTAGGTCTGCTACACCTTTATTATTTTTTTTAATACTGCACCATTAGACATGCAATTCACTTGGATAGTGGGGTCTTCTTCATGACTCAATAGCTTTTTAAGCACAACACCCACAATGCTGCAACTAAGTGTTTTACACAATAGGCAGGTCCTCTCACCTTTCCAACTTTGTTTTGGGTTGTGAATCCTTTCCTTATTTTCTAGATCAACAAAATGCTTCAAAGAAAGAGGCGCTCTTTTCCTCTGGTTTAACAGTCTGTGCAGAAACAAAACAATCCAGTTTAACAAAAGAGTGTAGCGTTACTTTTTGTCAATGAAAAAATAAAGTGTTTTCATGTCGAACAATTTGTCCTTCTTTCGGTTGGGTAAACGTGAATAACATGAACCAACACAGGGTCATTGTTATGATTTCTCTATAATTATAAAAAACCCTCAAATTGTTAAATTTTGGTTATTTTGGAAACATTTTGACATGTTCCTTGTAACTGCACTGTTGTCGATATTGTATCAATAGACAAAATGAAACGCTTGGAGTTTGTAATGTAGGGATTTCAATATTTATGTCTTTATTTAGTGGTTTCATTAGTGACAAAGGCTAAACGTTCAGCTTCACTAACACGTACACCGTATGGCCGACATTACAGGTATTAGGGTTAATAATACTGGCTGGCTCTCTGTTGGGTGACGGGCTGGTTCGATCCCCCAGCTGGTACAGTAGGGTGCATACCCACATGAGTCTGAAAGCGCTACATTATTAATAATATCTTCCGTGCTGCATTAACATTGGAATGTTTTTTTACAAGTGTAAAAAGAGGTGATTCACAACGTGTCTCCTCTATAACTCTTAGAGAAATTTATATTTAATTGAGAAATTCTGCCAGATCCTCACAACATTGTCCAATAATACTCTTCTTGTGTATAATTTTTAGTTAAGCAGGATTTGAGCTAAAGACCATAAAAAAACAGGATTCACTTTTTTCTGTCTCTTTCTCACCTGCTGTGATTCGGGCACATAAAAAAAGGTTAAAAAAGGTCAGACAGGCAGAGGGAAGGGGGTGGGGTGAAACTTATACCCGTTCTGGATAAAGCGGATAGAAAACAGGTGGATTTACACCTGTGAAAAGCGTTCCAATTTTAATGCGATATGGAAGATATTATTCATAATAAATGATCTTGGATGGTCTGTAAACTGAACATTTATAGAGACATGTTGTGTATCTCCTCTTATTACACTTGTAAGAAGATTCCAATGTTAATGTGACACTGAAGATATTATTAATAACCTTTTAAATCTGAGGATGTTAACTCCACTTCACACCTGCATGTCAAGATCATAGTTTCAAAATAAAAAAACATCAAAACTTAGATTGGATGAGAACGTCATGATTGTTTCGCAAGGATGTGAAACGTGACAATTTGTTACAGCTACCATCAGGAGTAAAACGCCAATTTCCCACTGCATTCTGGGGAATGTTGTTTTGACAAGAAACCTCTGTCTTGTCTCCATCTACCACTCACAATTCATCATGCGTGAATGAGTCAAATTAAAAATAAAACGTGTTTACAAAGAATGTGGAATACAATAATACTACCAGCTATATAAATACATATATTTATATTCTTAAATTAATATAGTTATTAATTTCTTTAGATACATAATTCCATATTATATTCCCCAATAATTAAATTCTAAAAATGAGTTTCTTTTACTGCGATAACGAGTGCAAGTATTCATGTAAAATGGTAATTACTTAACTTTGAACGTTTTAGGATATTTAGAAATACCAACAGATTCAATATAGTGTCAATAATATCAGTAATACGACAGTAGTAGTAGTTTGACGTTATTTGTTGTTATAAATTAATGACTTAGATTCGAACATGTTGTGATATTTAGAAATATACAAAAAGTCAATATAGTGTCCATAATATTTGCTATTTTAGTTTTTCAAAGAAATGTTTATTTGTTAAGAGAAAACTCATGGGGACAGCTGGGCCCGTACCTCCGAACTCAGGCATATAAGGCACATGCTTAAGCCACCATGCCACAGATGTAATCACATGGAAAGGAGTGAAATTGAAACAGACAAATCCAAAGAGAGTGTATTACTGTGATAATTTGAGCTACAGTACATGAATATAATTATATCATTATTAATTTATTTAGATAGTCCATTCCATATTATATTCCCTATTAATCAAATTCTAAAAGTATGCTTTTGTTTACTGCAATAACGTGTATATTCGAGGAAAAGGTTAAAACATTATAACTTTTTAAAAGTATATAAACTTAATATAGTCAGAAGGAGCACGTAAAATCGGTTCCAAAATAACCACATGGAAGACTTTGATGTTTAAAATGTCTAGAAAGAAAGTAGAACACTGGTGTGTATGTTGTCTTTAAACTACCAATTCCAGCCATATACATTTAACATAATAGGTTTTTTTTCCTAAATGAATATCGTTTATGACCATCAGATGTGTTATGCTCCTCTTCTTTTTATGCTCAGCTACTAAAATTTCCCTTTAGTTTTAAAATTACATATAAATATTCAATACACAGTAAAGAGATTAAAAGATTAAATCTTTTCACTAACAACCAATGCAACACAAATGCCCCTGTCAGTCATTTTGGCCAGCCAATCACGTACTGCGGTACAACACAGTGACCTGTGGGTAATTGCATGTGGTACGGGTTTGTATTGTGCATTTTGAATGGCTGCATCTGTAAATATGCTGCCTGTCTGTGTAAGATAAAGGGCATGTATTAGGTAAGCTGGCTGTGCGCCCAGAACATAACAACAACAACAACAACAACAACAACAACATAACAACATCACTTTATTAGCCCTATACAATTTCTTGTATTAGGAATTCATCTTTTCGCATACCCCAGCTCGCTCTTTATGTTGTCTTATCATTCGTTCAGAATGTGTCTCAGGAACTTGTTTTTTTCTTTTATGGTATAAAAGACTAATTATTTTACTGTTCAGAGAGTTTGTTGGTTGCAAACCGTTGTTCAATATGCATATGAAATAAAGAGATTTCTACTACACAGACACCTGAACTGAACCTGAACTGTGAAAGGTACTGTACAAGTGTGTACGTGTTTATAGCTGGTCTGGAATAAGAAAATACTTACTCTACTACATTTACGAACATCTCCTTATAATTAACAAATCATGGTTCTCTCTCTGAAATGCCCTTATGAGTGTAACTGATGAGTCCCACAGTAACACTGTTGAAGTAGTGCATTCCCATGATAATTGCACTATGCAGGATCTTATTTATAAAATGCCTTAGGTTTTTGTCATTTTTACTAGTGTTCTCTTTTACTGTATCAGGTATTATATGCAAATATTTTACAATTTCTTTATTAAGTAAGGCATTTAAATGGCACAGCACATTATATAGCACTCCGCAGCTATTTTTTAGTTGTATATGTATATAATAATTCTATGTATCTGAAGTGATTTTATTGTTGTTTTTTACATTTTAAAAAATAGTATTTGTTAGTGACTTTAAATACTGACACTATTTAAATTTCATGTGCTCTATTTCTCTATTTCTATTTAAGCAATATAACAGTGGAGGTATTATAGTGTTGCACATGAAAAAGAAAATAGTCAGAAAACAAGATGGAAACATTTTAAGGAATTCTTTTGTCTTTCAAAGCTACATTTCATCTCCCTCTTCCTTTTCATATGAATAAGAAGTTTTTTGGTGAGTATAACATGTGCTTGCTTTCCTTACACGATTAAATTCATAACATCAATATATTTGTTTACTGAACAAGAAATATAAAATACATAGTCATTTCCTACAAAGATTTACAGCCTTATTATATTCATTATGTTAATATGTGTTTTATTTTTTATGCAGAAAGATTATAAGTATAGAATCAATTTGGACTTCTACTGGATTATCTCACTGCACTCTACTACATTGTGAAACTATTTACCTTTACTTGCGAAACCATTGTTATTACAGTCCCAACACTGAAACTCACAATAACGTTATATTGTTTTCATTATTACTTTCTGAGAATGGGTAATGCACAAGGTGGTGCTTGGCTTTATTTCTGTCAGGTATATGATAATTCATTTAAGATCATTTAAGTTAATTTCCAAGGAAAGCAATAGGTTTATACTGTATTCTCTTTATGTAACTACCACATTTAATCGATTGATAAAATCTCAAATACTAGTACGCTAAGTAATGTATGTTGTTTAAAATTTAATATACTGCTCAGACGGAAATTAAACCTACAGTTAACATAAGATTAACATAACACACCCTTAACATAAGATTAATCCACACCTATAATTCCAAATGTCCATTTAATAATTTAAATACTGTAATTCAACCAATTCTCAATTTTTTGTTATTAAGACCTCCAATTGTCAAGTCTTTCCAAACATCATAAAATAAAAGAAAACCAAAATTGTGTCTTCTCCATTTTTGTAATATTGAGTTTTAAATCCTTTTACTTACAGGACAGAACAAGACAATTGTAAAGAAACTAACATGATCTCTTTCAATTCAACAGTTCCTCAAAATCTTTAATTTGATTGACCTCCTTTCCTTTGTATCAATGATTTTCTAACATTCCTCATGTGAACCATTATTACATTCATACTTATTATTTACATGGAGCAAAAATAACGCCAAGATTTAATCTATTTTGACTGCATTCTGTACTACTGCAGTTGAAATTCTTGCATGTTGTAAATTATAGTACAGAAAGAAAAACTTTTAAAATGCAATGCAATAACGAATTTTCAATTACAGGACAGAGACAACAATTGGGAAAAACCAGCCTCATGAGTTCCTTGAATTCAACACTTCCTCCAAATGTTTCATTAGTTCGACCTCAGTTCTTTTATATCAATGGACTTTCTAATATTCCTTATGTGAAATACTATTACATTTTCTTGTGTTTTGTTTTCACTGTAACACTATTAGGAAACTCTTTCATTATGTTTATTATTTACATAGAACAAAGTCTTCACACCCCAAAGTATATGGCTGTTTTTCATTTAGCTGCAGTTGACACGTGTGGCAGCACAGCTCTTATTCCTAAAATGATCGAGGCTTTTTTGTTTGATTTTCCTTTAATCACATATGAAGCCTGCTTAGCCAATATGTTTTTTGTACATTTATTTCAATTTCTGCAGTCATTTACCGTTGTATTATTGGCATATGATAGATTTGTTGCTATTTGCTTTCCTCTGAAATATCATTTAATCCTTACTACTGCTGGAATGGGTAAAATGTTAGGTGGAATATGGATTCTAGCAGCTGGGGTATTAATTGTAGGTGTAGGTTTCATTACCAGATTATCATTCTGCAAATCTATTGTGATAAACAGTTATTTCTGTGATCATGGACCTGTGTATCGTATGTCCTGCAATGACAATTTCCCCAATTATGTAATTACCCAGATCAGTATTATAGTATTGCTCACTGCACCTTTGACTCTTATTCTCTCTACCTATGCGTGTATAATTTTGGCTGTGCTAAAAATCGCTTCATTGGAGGAACGCATAAAAGCAATGAAAACCTGCACCTCCCATTTAATCTTGGTGGCAATGTTTTACCTTCCGATATCTGCCATCTACATTGCAGCAAACATTACCACTGTTGACCCAAATATCAGGATAATAAGTACATCCTTATCTTCCACCATTCCACCAATGATGAACCCCATCATCTACACAATCAAGACAGAGGAGGTAATGAAAGTAGTGAAAAGGCTTCACAAAAGAAACAAGACAATTAAACCTAAAGTAAGTAGAATCAATTAACAGAATTTGTAGAGTTTGAATATAAGACATTAGTGAAATATCTTCAGGAATGTATAAATAGGATTAATATACTGTATACATTTTGAAGGAATTGAATATGAAACCATGTAATTGTACATGAAATACAATGAGAAATGAATGAAACTCATATTATTTTTAAGTTTTGTATTGACTTGTAGCTCATTTCTTTGAACGTAGCTGCATATAGCTATTATTTTAACAGTTTTGTACATTTCTTTATTTTGTTCTTTGTTCATTGTCATGCAGCACCCTCACTGTTTCTCTATTCTGTTTTGGCTTCTTTGTTGCACTTTATTTATTCAGCTGTATCTGCCTGAACCTTTCTCCTTGTACTGTTTAAGCTTTACACCTATTCTACAAACCTACACATTACTTATTTTGTTCTTCTTACTGTCTTCTCTCCTACTAGTCTCAATCCGTCATCACCCATCGAGACTCTCCTTTTGTGCTAATTCTTTTCTTATTCTGCTATTCTTTTTTCAATGCTCTTTGGTACTGTCACTCTACCAGTGTGACTCTACCAGACTATAGTTGATTTTGTCTTCAGTTTGTACATTTCATAGAAACATTTTTTCAACTTCAAAAGTGTGTCATACTGTACTGTGGACACTATTCCTATTCATTTTAAGCACAACTTTTTTTTACATTTTTCAAAATAAATTTAATATATTATAAATATTATTGTACTATTTTAAAGTATGTACTTCTGCGGTTGATTCTAACATGAATTAAACTGTGATTTGTAAACTTTGGCACACCATTAAATATAGATGCCAATATATAGATATAGGGGTTTCATGCATTTACTTGGACAATTATTAATTGTAGCAGTAAGTCACAAAATGATTCTTCGATGGCTATTAGAAAATCGACCTTGTGGAAGAACTCAGCAACACACGCACACGGATACTAATACACGAGAATACATTTATTAATACATAAAATGTGCCATTCAAAATGCGCAGTAAATCCCCGTACTGCGTGAAATTATCTGCAGATTAGGGTGTTATACCACAGTACGTGATTGGCTGGCCAAAATGACCGACAGGCAGCACTCATGGTGCATTGGTTGTTAGTGAAACGATTGCTTCATTTAATCTCTTTACTGTGCATGTTTAAATCCAATTAATATTGAATATTAATATGGCATTTTACAACTAAAGGGAAATGTTGGCAGCTGAGCACAAAAAAACAGGAGCATAATGTCTCTGAACGTCATAAATGATATTAATTTAGGAATATAAACATATTTTGTAAGCGAACAAGTAATAGGTTTATTCCATGCTGAAAAGAGAAGAAAGAAAACACGTTTTGACTGCGGAGCCTTCTTCAGGTGTGAGACCTCACACCTGAAGAAGACTCCAAGTTGAAACATTGTGTTTTCTTTCTTCTCTTTTCAGCATGGAATAAACCTATTACTTCTTCCTTTGCAGCCTATGCATGCTGATGCAGCTACCCACCTGAAATATTATGTAAGCTATATATGGCAGGTATTGGTAGTTTAAATAAAAAAAACACACCAGTATTCCACTTTATTCATAAACATTTTAAGCATCAAAATCTTTCATTTGGTTACTTACTGTGGTTATTTTGGAAGAGTTTTTATGTGCTTTTTCTGACTGTATTAAGTTTATATACTTTTTAAAAAGTTAAATGTTTTAATCTTTTCTATGAAGACTTGCACTGCTTATCGCAGTAAAAAAAACCTTCTTTGTAGAATTTGATTAATAGGGAATATCATATGGAATCGCATATCTAAAGAAATTAAGGATTTATTTATTTTTATATAGCTCAAATTATTACCGTAGTCCATTTTCTCTGTAAACATCTGCATCAATTTGATTCATTCACCCGTGATTACTTGGAAACATTTCAACTGTCCTTTACAGTTATAGCTTACGTTATCAAGCAATGTAGTGGTGTAACGGCTTTGGCCTGTGACTCACATGCTGGAGGTTGGGGTTCGAACCCCATCACAGCCTGATCTTTCTTTTAACAAATACACATTTCTTTTAAAAACTACAATAGTAAACATTATGGAAACTATATTAATTTTTTTGGTATTTCTGAAACCCCCTCTGTATTTCCTGTTTTCACAAAGTACATATGCAAATCTTTTCACAGGCGGAAGGATGTTCTTTGCTCTTACCAGAGTACGCCTTGTTGCATTTTTAAGCATCAGTCAAAGCATTGTGAAGTCTGTCAAAATCGTAAAAAATGTTACCAAATATTATTGGTGAAACTGTTACCTGTCCTGGATAAAGTGACTTGAAAATAGGTGGATTTACACGTAATATAAAAACGTTCCAAATTTAATGTGATACGGAAGATATTATTAATAATAAATGACTTTGGACAGTCTGTAAACTGAAGATTTATGGAGGAGACACATTGTGTCTTTTCTTTCCAGCTTGGAATTTACTTTTACCTACTTGTATATTCCATTGCAGCCACTTCATGTAACGCAGCTCTACTTCTCAAAAAGGTTAGGAGTGTTACACCCAGCTGTGTAATGTTATGTAGAATAGACAGTTCTGCCAGTTCTGGGGGATGGGAAAGCATTTTAGCATGTTCTGTTGTCATTGTTGCTGTTTAACATAAGGCAACCAGCAATCAAATGTCCTGTTTTTTCTTAACACTCCTGTTTTTTCTTAATATTACGTAACCAAAATCCGCAATATGGAAACAGAACCTGTGTAATTGTTGATAGATGATGTACT